CTTCAGTAACGTAGCATCCAACAATCCAACATGTGTGCAAATTACAAGGAACGTTAACATGCCCCACCCCACCCCAACCCTTCAGTTTCGTAGCATTACAGCATGTGTGCAAATTACAAGGAACGTTAACATGCCCCACCCCACCCCAACCCTCCAGCTTCGCAAATTACAAGGAACGTTAACATGCCCCACCCCACCCCAACCCTTCAGTTGCGTAGCATCCAACATGTGTGCAACGTACAAGGAACGTTAACATGCCCCACCCCACCACAACCCTTCAGCTGCATAGCATCCAACATGTGTGCCACTTACAAGGAACGTTAACATGCCCCACCCCACCCCAATCCTTCAGTTGCGTAGCATCCAACATGTGTGCAACGTACAAGGAACGTTAACATGCCCCACCCCACCACAACCCTTCAGCTGCGTAGCATCCAACATGTGTGCCACTTACAAGGAACGTTAACATGCCCCACCCCACCCCAACCCTTCAGTAACGTAGCATCCAACATGTGTGCCACTTACAAGCAACGTTAACATGCCCCACCCCACCCCAACCCTTCAGTAACGTAGCATCCAACATGTGTGCCACTTACAAGGAACGTTAACATGCCCCACCCCACCCCAACCCTTCAAAAACGTTGAAAACGCAGAAAAAAACCACTTCGTGCCACGGCCGTGCAGTGGTCGGTGTCCAACTACTCACTTGCGCCCCCAAAATTTTCTCACTTGCGCCCCTTACTCACTTGCGCCCCCCTCGACTCACTTACGCCCCAAACTACTCGCTTGCGCCCCCCTCCCGACTCACTTGCGCCCCCTGGCCTTCCACAATGCCATCATCTAACATCTACCTCTTTATTTAAACTTTACCCCCCCTTGCCTTCCACAATGCCATGATCTAAAATCTAACTCTTTATTTAAACTTTTCCCACCCTTGCCTTCCACAATGCCATCATCTAAAATCTAACTCTTTATTTAAACTTCCCCCACTTGCCTTCCTCAATGCCATCATCTAAAATCTAACTCTTTATTTAAACTTTACCCCTTGCCTTCCACAATGCCATCATCTAAAATCTAACTCTTTATTTAAACTTTACCCCCCCTTGCCTTCCACAATGCCATCATCTAAAATCTCACTCTTTATTTAAACTTTACCCCCCCTTGCCTTCCACAATGCCATGATCTAAAATCTATCTCTTTACTTAAACTGTTCCCCCGCCTTGCCTTCCACAATGCCATCATCTAAAATCTAACTCTTTATTTAAACTTCCCCCACTTGCCTTCCTCAATGCCATCATCTAAAATCTAACTCTTTATTTAAACTTTACCCCCCCTTGCCTTCCACAATGCCACCATCTAAAATCTACCTCTTTATATAAACTCCCCCCCCTTGCCTTCCACAATGCTTATTTAAACTTTACCCCCCCTTGCCTTCCACAATGCCATGATCTAAAATCTAACTCTTTATTTAAACTTTACTCCCCCTTGCCTTCCACAATGCCCCCATCTAAAACCTAACTCTTTATTTAAACTTCCCCCCCCTTGCCTTCCACAATGCCATCATCTAAAATCTAACTCTTTATTTAAACTTTCCCCCCTGCCTTCCACAATGCCATCATCTAAAATCTAGCTGTAGTAGTAGTAGTAGTCGTCGTAATGGTAGTGGTAGTGGTAGTGGTAGTAGTGGTAGTAGTGGTGGTAGTACTAGTAGTACTAGTAGTACTAGTAGTAATGTTTGCATCTGATTAGTGTGAGGGCCCCCCCCCCTAAACAATTTGAGGATACTCTATAACTCGCACTTTTTTTTGCCCTCCCTCGACATTTTTTTGGTCAATCAACTTAAGAAAGGATTTCAATTTACTTTCAATTGATTTCAATTTACTTTCAATTGATTTCAATTTACTTTTAATTAGTTTAATTACTTTTAATTTACTTTCAATTTACTTTCAATTTACTTTCAATTGATTTCAATTTACTTTTAATTTACTTTCAATTGATTTCAATTTACTTTCAATTTACTTTCAATTTACTTTTAATTTACTTTCAATTTACTTTCAATTTACTTTCAATTTACTTTCAATTTATTTTCAATTGATTTCAATATACTTTTAATTTACTTTCAATTTACTTTCAATTTACTTTCAATTTACTTTCAATTTACTTTCAATTTACTTTTAATTTACTTTTAGTTTACTTTCAATTTACTTTCAATTGATTTCAATTTACTTTTAATTTAATTTCAATTGATTTCAATTTACTTTCAATTGATTTCAATTTACTTTTAATTTACTTTCAATTTACTTTCAATTGATTTCAATTTACTTTTAATTTACTTTTATTTTTTTCACTCCCAAAAGTTGGTGCTCACAATAGAGTACCATCCAAACAATTATATTATTGAGTAACTGAGCTAATCATGAGGTATCCCCTTGAAAAATTGTCTGGGTGCTGTTTTTTAAATAAGGGTTTAATAAGGCATCTAATTATTTGGAAAACCTTGCATTTTAAAGCTTTAACACAAATATGGCTTTCTAAAGTAAAGGCACCAGCTTTACCCAAAGAAAGGTGGATAAAGGGTTTTGTTTTTTTTTTCACTCCCAAAAGTTGGTGCTCACAATAGAGTACCATCCAAACAATTATATTATTGAGTAACTGAGCCAATCATGAGGTATCCCCTTGAAAAATTGTCTGGGTGCTGTTTTTTAATAAGGGTTTAATAAGGCATCTAATTATTTGGAAAACCTTGCATTTTAAAGCTTTAACACAAATATGGCTTTCTACAGTAAAGGGGCCAGCTTTACCCAAAGAAAGGTGGAGAAAGGGTTTTGTTTTTTTTTTCCACTCCCAAAAGTTGGTGCTCACAATAGAGTACCATCCAAACAATTATATTATTGAGTAACTGAGCCACTCATGAGGTACCCCCTTGAAAAATTGTCTGGGTGCTGTTTTTTTAATAAGGGTTTAATAAGGCATCTAATTATTTGGAAAACCTTGCATTTTAAAGCTTTAACATAAATATGGCTTTCTAAAGTAAAAGGCACCAGCTTTACCCAAAGAAATGTGGAGAAAGGGTTTTGTTTTTTTTTTCACTCCCAAAAGTTGGTGCTCACAATAGAGTACCATCCAAACAATTATATTATTGAGTAACTGAGCCACTCATGAGGTACCCCTTTGAAAAATTGTCTGAGTGCTGTTTTTTTAATAAGGGTTTAATAAGGCACCTAATTATTTGGAAAACCTTGCATTTTAAAGCTTTAGCATAAATATGGTTTTCTAAAGTAAAAGGGTCAGCTTTACCCAAAGAAAGGTGGAGACAGGGTTTTGTTTTTTTTTCACTCCAAAGTTGGTGCTCACAATAGAGTACCATCCAAACAATTATATTATTGAGTAACTGAGCCACTCATGAGGTACCCCCTTGAAAAATTGTCTGGGTGCTGTTTTTTAATAAGGGTTTAATAAGGCATCTAATTATTTGGAAAACCTTGCATTTTAAAGCTTTAACACAAATATGGCTTTCTACAGTAAAGGGGCCAGCTTTACCCAAAGAAAGGTGGAGAAAGGGTTTTGTTTTTTTTTCACTGCCAAAAGTTGGTGCTCACAATAGAGTACCATCCAAACAATTATATTATTGAGTAACTGAGCCACTCATGAGGTACCCCCTTGAAAAATTGTTTGGGTGCTGTTTTTTAAAAAGGGTTTAATAAGGCACCTAATTATTTGGAAAACCTTGCATTTTAAAGTTTTAACACAAATATGGCTTTCTACAGTAAAGGGGCCAGCTTTACCCAAAGAAAGGTGGAGAAAGGGTTTTGTTGTTTTTTTTCACTGCCAAAAGTTGGTGCTCACAATAGAGTACCATCCAAACAATTATATTATTGAGTAACTGAGCCAATCATGAGGTACCCCGTTGAAAAATTGCCTGGGTGCTGTTTTTTTAATAAGGGTTTAATAAGGCATCTAATTATTTGGGAAACCTTGCATTTTAATTTTTTAACACAACTATGGCTTTCTACAGTAAAGGGGCCAGCTTTACCCAAAGAAAGGTGGAGAAAGGTTTTTGTTGTTTTTTTTCACTCCCAAAAGTTGGTGCTCACAATAGAGTACCATCCAAACAATTATATTATTGAGTAACTGAGCCACTCATGAGGTATCCCCTTGAAAAATTGTCTGGATGCTGTTTTTTAATAAGGGTTTAATACGGCATCTAATTATTTGGAAAACCTTGCATTTTAAAGCTTTAACACAGCTATGGCTTTCTACAGTAAAGGGGCCAGCTTTACCCAAAGAAAGGTGGAGAAAGGGTTTTGTTTTTTTTTTCACTCCCAAAAGTTGGTGCTCACAATAGAGTACCATCCAAACAATTATATTATTGAGTAACTGAGCCAATCATGAGGTATCCCCTTGAAAAATTGTCTGGGTGCTGTTTTTTTAATAAGGGTTTAATAAGGCATTTAAAATAAAATAAAAAATAATTAAACATAAATAATTAGATTTTTTTCAAAAAAAAGTTAAAGCGTTTGGAAAAATGAAAAAATATGGAAAACAAACTCATCTGGAAAAAAAATCTCACAATAGAGTTCCCCCCCAACAATTTGCATGTGACTGAATTAGGAGCAAGAAGTTTCTCACAATAGGGTACCAGGACACTAATCGGGTGCAAACATTACTAGTAGTACTAGTAGTGCTAGTAGTACTAGTAGTACTAGTAGTACTAGTAGTGCTAGTAGTACTAGTAGTACTAGTAGTACTAGTACTAGTAGTACTAGTAGTACTAGTAGTAGTAGTAGTAGTAGTACTAGTAGTAGTAGTAGTAGTAGTAGTAGTAGTAGTGGTAGTGGTAGTGGTAGTGGTAGTAGTGGTAGTAGTGGTAGTAGCAGTGGTACTAGTACTAGTACTAGTAGTCGTAGAAGTAATAGAAGTAGTAGAAGTAGTAGAAGTAGTAGAAGTAGTAGACGTAGTAGAAGTAGTAGAAGTACTAGTAGTAGTAACTACTTCACCTTCTACGAGGGGCACAAGCGAGAACAAAACGGGGGCACAAGCGAGAAAATTTGGGGGGCACAAGCGATGCAGCGACCGTTATGGTGATCTTCCCCATTCTTTCCATAGTTTTCCAACACTTCCCCCCCATGCCCCACACCACGCAGCAAGTGGTCTGAGCTCTGCCGCGCGCGCGAGTCCGTGGTGCTGCTGGACCCGAAGAGGCGCCGGGCCGCATCAGCCACCTGAGGCTGAGATCCGGAGCGTTTTTGTGGTGGAAAAACGTAAAAAACCGATGAACAGTTGCGAGTTCATCATGAAAAATCACTGGTTGGTGGTTTGAACCCCGAAAAATATGAGTCAGTTGGGATGATGACATTCCCAATATATGGAAAAATAATCCAAATGTTCCAAACCACCAACCAGATCAGGTTTTACCAAGACATCAACCCATGGTGAATCTTGGCGATTTCATGCCGATTTTTTGCCACGGAAAATTGGGAGGTTATTTTAGCAACGCTGGTGATTGAACTATCATAAGTGGGGATTTACCCATCCAATATGGGGCTTTATTTACACCTTTTCGAATCACAACATGGACATGTATGGATTGAACATAGGCATATATATATATATATAATGAGGACACGGGGTTATAATGTGACTACTGTACTAATGACATATGTTTAGGGAAATGTCAACCTTCACCCTGGGGCTTACCCTATTGAGACCCAATACCCAGATGCTCCATGTATGGCACAATATGGCACATGTAGCATCATTTACCTACATAACTGCACAGTAGATGAAACCATCTGGGACACGGAATGAAGATTCCCGGACAATAACTTGTTCTATTGTTAATTAAGTATTGGATAAAGATACAACTTTTCACTGTGGTGAATATGTGGGTAAACTACTTGAAACCCAGAAAATTGCTGTGGCAAAATTTTGAATCTTAACCTGGACATGGCCATTGTAAGGGGTCCGTTTACACACCCATGGGGTTGGAATCAAATTGCATGAACGCCATGGGGGTGCGCTTGGCAAATGGTGAGCCCCCTATTGTTGGGAGGGGGTTAGCCGGTTAGCCGTTAGCCTTGAGGGTGAAAGCAGTTGGGAGCCCCAATGATACTGTACAGTTGGTATTTGAAACCATCAGAATGGTAGAAATGGTAAAGATTCGGAGTCCGTTTCAAAATCATCACCCAAACCTTGTCTGGATTTATATTTGACCGCGAACTTCAGATTTCACATATTTAGGCTCTCTTCATACATTTGCTCAGAACTGAACCAGGGATTAAAAAAAAGACGTCACAGGTGTTATCAGTTATAACTTCTAATTAGTATGCCTGGCTTATATTTAAAGCTCTATCTATTGAGGGTACCCAGGGTATTTATAACCATGTTGTTTTTTCAACACAACAGTTCCATGCATCCCATGACTTCTTCCCGCCATGCCACGTTGAGACTCTTCCGACGCCGCTCTTCGCTCATGGTATGATCTGCCACCGCATCTTCCAGTTGGGTAGCCTTCAGCTGAAAACTTTGCACCTGGCGTTGAAAGCGGTCCTGGTGAGGGTTTTTTTTAGGCCCGACGAACCATGATGCATGCAATGGGTAAATATGGGAACATGTAATTGTGGATAGTATTTTTGGGAAATAATTGGATATTGGAACTGAAACTACCATCTGGTATAGTATATGATGGAACATGTCAGCCCGACGGCGATATCTTAATTGTCTGGTGAGAATGATAACCATGATAGCCCCCGGCAAAAGCTGGCACCCTCTGGCAGTCTGGTAATCGAACAGTTTGCAAAAGGCTTATTTTCTATGGCTATGTTAACTTGCCGCTTGTCCTGAAATGAATCCTTTCATTTCAGATCCTAGGCATGAATCTTGATAATACGTATACATTTGTCGGAATTGCCTCAGTTTACCAAGTATATACCTGTATAAGTATATACCCCATCACCCCCAAACCACCTCACACCACCACAGCCCCAACTTCTCACCCAGATCAAACATTACTCATCTTAAATCATGTTACGCATTTAAACCGAAACCATCCGAAAACATTCGACTTACGTTTTTTTCGATATGATAAAGTAAATTATGAAATAAACCGATTCATCCTCAGCAAAGATCTGGGCAAATTATGATGGTAACCAGTATAGTGGGGCATTTTGCCATTATAAACCATTAACATCATCCTCATGAACATCATAAACCATGTTAGTGAATTGTTATAAACCATATATTAAAAAAATGTTAGTAAGCAAAGATCTGGGCAAATTTTAGGGCCATTGTGCATGATTTCCCATAGCCATCCAGTTCCAGGGATCCCACGCCCATTTATGAACGGGAGAAAATGCACTTCCACAGTTCCGCTTATTCAGTAAAAAATAATAATGGTTACTAACAATAGTATGCATGCGTATATAATATATATATATATCTCTATTTGTTTATTCATTTATATTTATCTATGCGTATATATATATATATATTATAGACTTATAGGGATACATTTACAAAATATACCTATAGCCTATAAATGTATTCTGTATGTCATTGTATGTCATTGTATAACCCCCAAAACATTCGCATGCCCACCTTCCAGTGAGATTCAATTTGTATCAACGCAGCTTTAACTCATTTTTTTGCCAAGGAAAGAGTGTCCAAGTCCATTGATGAACAACTCCAACCTCATTTTCTCGCCTAGCCTTGCCTCAGATCCAAGTTGAACCTTACCTCCATTCTCATCCCATCTCCTCCCCCAGTTCCAGCCAGTTCCACCTTCTCTCATTGAGATCCAAAACGGCAGTCTTATAGATGAAGTTATATAAGTTATAGAATTTTATACCTCCATTCCTGGAATTCCTCACCATTTTCCCCATCTTCAGCCCATCCTCAGCCACACCTTCTCACTGAGATCCTGCAACAACTGCTGCATCTGCTGCTCCAGCAGCACCGCGCCCATATCGCCCATGAGCTTCGTCAGCTCCGAGGCCTGTCGCGCCAGGTCCAAGAAGTAGGCCGCGTGGTCCAGCGCCTCCACCTTGGCTTTTTCAAAAGCCGTGAAAAATGAGAAAAAATGGGGAAACGATATGAATGATATGGATGGACACTCATTTAAAGTATGGAGATGGGAGAAGATGGAAACATGGCGCGGTGTTTGATGCGACAGACAACGTTTTGAGCAATGATCGAAATCATGACAAATTCAACCCAGTAAACACACAACACTGTTTTTAATAATGAATTCAAGTCGGAACATGTGATTGCATGTGTTCTCTAATGATGATGCATTGTCTGAAAACGTCAATTTGTGTTGAACACATTTTTTTGTCAGGTTGTTCCCTTCTGATAATAGACCTACCTTTTGGGTATGCCATGGTATGCCTTATTCTCCAGATTGTTAAAGCAAAACAGAAATATACTATAGGTCTCTTATAGGGCCTACCACGTCAGGCATGTTGGTTTTTACACTATTGCACGCAGGTTCCATGCACATCTCTTTCTATCGTAGATGCATGAAACAAAAAAATAGAAGCACAACTTCGCTCAGTGACTGCATCAGAAAGCTTGGGGCCAAGGTCGGTGAATTTCCTGAGCCAAAGAAAGAATTTGCAAATCAGATCTGGCGCAGGATGATCATGAAAAAACTTTCAGATGGATCTCAAGCATGATCCATCTGACAATATTGTTTCAAATATTGTTAAGATGCATCATTATCATCATTCAGGATTTCAAATTTAGGACTACTTATTGTTTTTTCTTCAGATGCAAAACCTTCTGAATCTCAAGCCATGGCTTGAACTGCTTGGGACTCGTGATCATCCCAAAACGGGAATGAGATACTCTGATACCTGGGGCTGCACAAACCAGCTATTCATGTTGGTCGGTATATATATATATATACTAAATGTATACATATATAAATAAAATAATATTAAAAATCATAGACTGTATTGTATTCATATAACTTTACCGGTGTTGTAATGTTGTATCCCAACTCATGGGGGTTCTCACCATGGTTATCGGCATAGGCATAACCCCAAGTACGCCATCAGTATCCCTCTCCATCACAAACCATTGAACTATTCTCCCCCTCGTGTTGTTCAATACCTGCACCAACCTGCACCATAGGGTGACCACCCAGAACCTCTATAGCTGGTCATCTGGCGACTATAACTTGCACATGCAGGTGGCATGTAATATCTTTACTTGCCTACTACAGACTAAATGTATCCATACATAATCACATTCCAAGAATAATAATCTCATCCAAACATACCAATATATCGATACCCGATCGCAACAAACAAATCAAAATCCAAAATGTTCTCCCATAAGAGGTAGCTTCATTCCCTCAACAACTAAAACATACTACAACTAATTACTAAGTAACTATTAACATCTATTAACTATAAACTCTTAACATCTGTTGTCACTAATTATCATCCATATCCCATCCCATCCCCTGGCCCTGGCCCACCGGCCACCGGCTCCAAGCATCAATCCCATGGCCGGCCCCGCTGAGGACCTGCGACTGCTGCGGGAGGTCTTGCTGCCCGTGACCGGCGCCTCACGCTGCCGCACCGCGCCAAGCTCCTGGCGGACAACGGCGCACCACAACGGTTGTGGAAGTTCCGAACGGTCATGGTTCATGTCGATTTATTCATGGTTCATCTATGTTCAAATACTTATAAAAACTTATGTAATATGAATGAATCAGTTGATACAAGAGGTCAATCTACTTGGCCATTGGCAATGGCTTTCTGGCTTGCATTATAGAGGCTAAATCAGTTCTATAAATCTCTACAATGCAATTCCCTGGGCAATTTATATCCATTTATGTCATGGATAATTTCCGTAGTGAATAGTCGATTTATTAATGGTTGATACTTAGCGAATAAGGGCTGACAATGGCTAATACAAGAGTTACTAGAGGTTGGTTAATACCTAGCGAATAATGGCCAAGAGGTTATCCTCTGGTAAACTAACATAACTACGGGAAATCACATTTTTTAATGGGAAAACTCACTATGAAGGAATGATTGAATCATTGATAATCCCATGGGGGTTTCACCAACTAACACATTTTAGCGGTATAGAATCCATATGATTGGAAGATCACCTTGGAGGTGTTGGAATCCCTGTGAAACTGGGGGACCTGTTGATTTCGTTCAGAAGAACTGTTCCTTTTTGATGGGCAACCCAAAGAAAACAATAAAGCGATGAGAAATGATGAGTTCCTCTTGGGGAAACATTTCTCGTGAGAAAGCCATCTATGCTCTAAAGGTCCTCAAAAAAAAACAGTCATTTCAGAGGCCAACTTGGTCAGATTCAAATAGAGGGGACGTAGCCTCTGGTTATGTCAAAATAGCCATTGAACATGGCCTATTCATAGTTGATTTACCTATTAAAGATTGTGATTTACCATAGCTATGTTGGTTTACCAGAGGATAACATCTTTACAAACCTTGCTTTGTCTACTTGGCTAGCCCAAAAAGAAGGACAATCCAACCACAAACCAGAAATATAACATAGATATGGGAAACCCATCACATTGTCAAGATCATTTTTATCAGGAACCTATCGGCTTTCCATATCTATGTTCACTCACTCGAAGATATATCCCCATTTACTTTTACTGTATATCTCACATTTTTTGTTACTAAATCATCAGTTTCGGACTGTTAAATGACCATGTTTCATGGTTAACTCATGTTAAGCTCGCTTATTTTGCATGCTGCAATTTTGTTGTTTCACAGGTTAACTCACAATAAAGAAAATAAACACAATTTTTGCCGGTGAACTCCGCTATTTTCCGCGTGCGCCACTGCGCCACAACAAAGACCCACAGGATCTCCTCCTCGAAGTTCAATGCTCTGAAACGCAGCTGCAAGGAGCTGCCAGAGACGTCACGACAGAAGGTACCCTTGGACTGCAGGGACACCTGTAGGTCCTGTTCGACAGCGTGGAATTTTAACGGTAGGTATCTGGGATTTCATGGGATTGGAATTTGCTAGGACTTAATGATGAATTATACAGGATCATCATGGGGATATCATGGGAGGTAATGGGATATATACAGTAGATATATATAATTAGATTTATCATTATCTTTGGTGACTTATCACTGTTTTATTGGGCTCTATAGTTGGATGAGACTATTGTATTGACCAAAATATGTGGACAAAACGTGGTTTCGATACGACGATCTACACATGGTGGGTTTTGCACATCTATGTTAATTTGCAGGAGGTAGATGTTCATCACTATTGTTTAAAAAGGAATAAAACGGATACCATCTGGTTATTTAACATAGCCATGGAAAATCACCTTTTCTAATAGGAAAACCATCTATAAATGGACCATTTCCCATGGCTACGTTAATATACCGGAGGGTATCATGTTTGGTGGAATTGCTATAACTCGGTGCTGGGATATGCTGGCAATCTTTTTCTGTGAACATGCAAAAAACCAGAGCTACTGAGCAGCTACTGACCAGTTATGATCCGCGGGATGATCCTCCTCATAATGTTGTTGGGGGGTCAATATGAAGTTATATATCCGATGGTATCCATAGCAACTAAAGGGCTATACTGTCCTATGCGAATACTATACTAAACTATATTACTGTAAAACAATTCTAGCAAACCAATTATACATAGTGTTACCATGGAGAAAAACAACATTCATTGGAATTGGTGATTTCTCCTCTCTTATGTTAAGTGATTGGACCGAACTAAACGGCTGTAACCGGACAATGCTACCTAGTCAATATTAAGGTTACTATATGGCTACTTCGCTACCTAGTCAAAACAAACCACCACAACATCCACAATCCGTTGAAATAGATTATATAAACCATAATTAGTATATACAAGGGCTACATAACACAGTGACTGACGGCTGTGCACCATTGTGCATCCTCCTACAGTCCCAGTCACCTGATGCCTCAAATCGGCACTTGACTGGGTTTTCTGGGGCTGATTGGGAAAGAAAACAATTCCATATATTATACTTCTTTCCTTTAAACGGTGGTGCCCCGTAGTTAACTAAGTTGGTTTAGTTTACTAGCTTGACTAGGGTTTATGGTGATGGAATCTGCAATGAGGTCGGCCACATGGTCGCAAGGCCATGACCTTAACTCCTGCAGCGTAGCAGACACGATACAGTAGACCACCCCATTCTTTCAAGGATTGTATCAAAACACAAAACAAAACAAAACAAAACAAAACAAAACATACGCGAAAAGCATTCATGGCAATGTCAATGTCAAATGGACAAATCAATTTTCCAATGGGCTGCTAAAATGGGGGGGGTGATTTTTGAGCAGCCAACTATCACACGATATGCTGGGAACCCTTTATTAGCCCGGAGGGGGGCATTACCTTCTATCTCCATTGTCCCCATTGTGAATTCCCACTACATCCCATTAAACCAAATTCCTCTTAAATCCCGGTTGTACAACCACTCTTGTTGGGTAAATCACCGTTGCACCCATTGCATTCCCTTCCTGTCTCCGCATCCGCAGCCGCAGTCCTGGTCTTTCAGTAGCTGCTCCTTGCTCAACACCTCCGACTTTGCGAAGCTGGTGTCCAGCAAAGCGCCCCCATTGTCCTGGGAACAACGGGGCCGTGCAAAGGGTTGAAGCAGGTTGGGATCATGCTCCGCCTGGATCTAGGATGGTCGGACGGAAATCAAAGTGTTTCCGTTCATGCGTGCTTCATCAGAAACGCCACCATGCATGGTGCCTTCATTAAATTATATCCTCATCCTGCTCATCCTCTACAAACATCAGCCTTGTAAGGGTGATACTGTATGTTTCAGCCGGTTCGCAATAATATGCGACATATGAAAGGCACCCAATTTACCATTGCCATTATCATTACACGTTCACCAAAAAAGAACACATGCGCTCAGCCGAGAGATGCCGAGAGTCATCCACGACTTCCAGGTGGAGTTCACAGCCTGTCATCGCAGAGCATTTTGGGTGGCCACACATCATGGCAACCCCCGTGGGTACCAAAACTATCAACCCCCATCCATCCTTGTATAGTAGGGTTTATTAAGCCCCCATTGAAGCTAGGGGTGTCCACTGGGGTGCTCTTAAACTTTCATGCCATCTGCACGTTTTTCCTGACTAAATGACTAAATGACCCAAAAAAAGTGGTGCCTTGTCTGATCAGAGTGCGAAAATAGTACAGGTTTCTGTGGAGAAATCCCAGCTGAGGTTCTTTAAGCAAGTCCCGTTGCAAGAAACACGGCTGGATATAATGGACATGGCAATGATTGGAGAACAAGGGCAAGATAAACCATAAAGAGACAAAACTTATAAATATGGCATTACCATGTGTGTTCACGAGCGGTTCTATCATGTTACGCGAGTACCTTAACGCACCAATTTTAAAGAAACACAGGGTCAGAATGAGCTGCTTCGTGACAACGTCACGGTCCCACCCAGGGGGAAAAACATGACAGACGAACATCACAAAGGGCGAATCTCTACGCTTTAACGGATCATTAACGGATCATCTGCCAACGGGAAGGCTTCCGCCAGAGCAATTGGTAGAAACGGTCGATCCCTGTGTGGCACCTTGGCAGATTTGGATAGGAGGCTATAAGCTGCCACAGCCATGTGGGCCCTGAAATGAATACATCCAGTAATTAATGAGGCATTTGCGGAATGCACTTACAAGCATATATATATATTACGTAATCAATACCCATACATACATACATACATGCATATATATATATATACATAGTACATATATACATATATATATATAGAGAGAGATCATCATCATTATCATCATCATCATCATCATCACCATCATCATCATCATCATATTCATTTCAGGCTGGTTGTAACCATGTTCAAACCCCAATCTTTGATGGTTAAGACCCCATTTCTTTCCCACAGATCCAGGATCCACGTGAAATCACCCCGTGGCCCCACGGCCTCTTTCCATTGGCAAGTCCACGAAGAAGATTTCGTTCCTTGGGCCGAATGGAACCACAATTCGCTATGTCTGAACCAAACAGAATGAGGGAAAGCGACAGTACACATCACATGATTTATCTATCTTTAGTGTATGTTTAAAAACATGTATAATATGTATAGTATGTATATACATATACATATACATATACATACATATATATATATATACAAACATGTAAAAGTAAGTGTGTGTGTGTGTGTGTCTGCGTGTGTGCACATTCACGTGGAGATTCTCCGCAAGGAACTTCAATCCACATGGATTTCTGTGTGATGCATGTGTCGGAGCGTGCGTCTATGTCCGGAAAAAAACACCAATGCTGTTATTGTATATATATGTATTTGTCAATAATAGATGTCACTAGTAGTGACTGTTGCATGACTTACATGTTTAGAAAGCAAGCCTGCAATCCCAGCAACACTATGGCCCAGTTTCCTCACTGTGGATGTGGCTATGGTATAAGAATTGTATGTCATGTTTATATGCTAAGCTGCTAGTTCTCTTGAAGTTGGCACCGCAAACCAGCTCCGTACAAATATCTCACCCATATTTGTTGAATATTTCATGTGTGTGCTGGGAGGTATTTACAGGTTACACTCTGGAAATCCACAAATTGGAATATATACATATATATACAATATCTATCAAATATTGCCATAACTGGAAATATATTCCCCATCTCCAAATTCCCAAAACTCATCAAACCCAGTCCCCACGACTCTGGGGCTTGCAGCAAACTGAAAGGGCTTTGTCTGAGCATAAGGTATCCCCCCAAAATCCAACGGGTTTCGTATGTTATGTGCTATTTAACGGCCCAAAAATATCAAAATTTTGGGGCATCCCCCCAACATTGGAACAAACTCTTCTGTATATATAAGTCATGTGTATATTATATATATATATAATATTTTATATAATGTTCACATCTCATATCCCTGCATTTCCCGTAGGACGCCGTAGGACTGGTTGAAGTTACACCCCAACCATCCCCAACCCCCAATGACCTCGGTCCGGCATCCACTCAGGATCCGCAGAGTTCTCCTTGGTGCAACTCTTGGCCTCCCACCAGGTCTCGTCGTCACAAGCGATCCGTAGCTTGACCTGGAACTGGAACCAGAACATCTGCAGGAAACCATGGATTTTTCCCATGAAATCTAGGGGTTTCCTATAATGTTTCCCTTAAAACAATCTATTGAGACATGGATAGATTTGATATATATATATATTATATTGAAAAATGACTTTATCATGATTTATCATGATGAAACCTTATCACTATACTGGTGAGAAATTGATGTAACATTATGTCTATATGTCTTCTATCTACTATCTCTTGTGGGGAGTTGCTTCTGCTGGGTGGTAAGTGATGGTCAGTAAGTTGCCCAACTTGCTGAATTTTCCTGAAGCCATAGCTGGATTACAACCCCATGGCTAGCCACTTGCAAGTTTGATGGTCCTCCAAGCAAAGTCTTCTTAAGGAAATTGTACACTTCAGCAATTTAAGCGCCGAGATGATTTTGGGGGACTCCCCCTTGATCACAATAATTTAAACAGGTTTAAACCACTTAATTTATAATTACTCATTTGTGAATTTTAGTGGTCATGTCACAGGCACTTTGAAAGCGATTTCTACATCTGGAGCCCCCCAAACAGTCGACCACGGACGTTGCAACGTTGCGAACCATGACTTCACTCTCGCCGGCCCGGGTACTAAGCAATAGATCTGCTCATTGGGGTGTGGAACGAGTTGCCATTACTAAACTGTTTCGTAATAGTACGCAGTAATAAGCAAATCGTTAATATTACTAAACCGTTCTTTGGGGTGCTTGTTGGCGGTGTGTTTCCCTAACGTTCCATTCTGCAGCTAAATTCTCCGATTGCTTCCGGTGATTTCCAAAGTCAACCCCAGCTTAGTCTCCCTGGGTGAATTGGAACTGACATCATAATTGTGTGTCCCAATCCCCTGCATTAAAGAAAACAACTTCAGTTTCTATTCATGCCAAATACTTTGCAAAGATCTAAGATTTTCAATTATTTCATATGTTCCATTATTTCCCAAAACAGAAATGATTTTTTTAAGTAGATCTAATATTTTCCCATATTTTCCCGAGCCAAGACGTATATCCCAGGGCTTCCCACACCCAGGGCTCGGCACATAGGGATCCACTGTATCCATCCCAGCGGGGCGATCCGGCAGATGATGAGCGCGGAGCAGTTCCACCACGCGGGTGCTGTGGGGTAGGACTTTGTGCGCCGCCTTCTGACCCTCCTGGCGTTGGAACATGGGAAAATTGCGGGACATGCGCTGGAAAATGGTGGAAAATGAGCCTCTAAGAGTTCGCGAACTGGAAACTCACCATCTTTTATAGGTGAATCAACTATATGAATAGGCCATATTCAGTAGCTGTGACAAATTACCAGAGGGTATGGGATGCTATGGGATTATGGGATGCTGAGCCGAGATCATGCGTGGTGAAGAGGTGGAATTTTTGAATAGCAACTTGGAATGATAAAGTCATATTAACGAAGGGGATTTATTTAGCATGATTTAGCCAAGTAAATCATGAAGTAAAAAGGGGAGTGGCTAGTTGACAAGTCTACGTAGTGATCCGCAAATAAGTTGAACAAGAAGCTAGATACTGAGCAGCAAAAAGAAGAAAAAGGGAACAACACATAGACAAATAGAATTAGAGACCCAATATCGTGAATATAGCTTTTTTGGGGGGAACAGGAAAACTATGTTTACAGTAGCCATCCTCGCGCAGAAAGCAAAAATTTACAGGAGTAGGGATGTTCATGGAAGAACATGACTATAAATGACCGGGAATTGCAGGCATTGAAAAAATCATAATAATGCACTAACCTGAGATAAGGTCATTCTATGATATTCTATGTCACTTTGGGATAGTTACCCCAATCCTAACCGACATTTTACATCATTTTACAGTGACACGGGGTTCATTTATCCAGATATATAACTCAGATCCAATAATCATCCCATCCCAGTCTATCCAATATATAGCCATTGTGTACCCACTATCCTGGAAACTCTGGGTAGCTTCATCCCAAGCACCAACCCTTGGGAGCTATGCAGCTGCGGGTCCTGTTCGACCACCACAGCACTGACATGCGGCTGCTCCAGGAAGGCACGCAACAAACGGCAGGCGTCACTTTGCCAGGCCTGGCGCGCCTTTTTTGCGGCTGGAGATTCATGTTGGATCCCAAATCTTAGGATCTCAATCGTTAGTTCCGTTGGTTTCTATTCATTTCAAGTACTATCGTAAACAAACTAGCCATAGAAAATGGCCATTTCTAGATGGTTTACCTATAAAAAATGATGATTTTCCATGGCTATGTTAAATAACCAGATGGTATTGACGATGTCAAATGTTCCCAAACAGTTCAAAATTGGACCCCAACTTGGTTGCGTTAGACACATGGAATCAGTCACTTAAACTCACTGAAGTATACTGAAGTGTTGATCGCGGCCTCAGGGCTCTAAGGACTCTAGGAAGTGTCTGAGTCAAAACTCACAACCTGGAAAACGGTTGATGTCTGATGCCCTTCCTGAAAAAACGACAAGATACTACGATCTATGTGCAAAACATATCTGGTTGGTGGTTTCAACCCCTCAGAAAAATATTAGTCAGTTGGGATGATTATTCCCAATATGGAAAAGTAAAAAATGTTCCAAACCACCAATCAGATATTGTCTCCAACCCGGATGTTCGCGCACTACTTATCTTCAAGAGGGAACAATTTTGAAGAGGAAATCAAATTCAACTTATCTTCAAACGGGATCAAATCCGCCACCCCTTCTGAAAAATATATTGAACGGGATATGAAATCCAATTTATCTTCATAAGGGATCAAACCCCCCTCACCATCTGAATCATAAATTGAATGGGATATTAAATTCAACTTAAATTCATGAGGGATCAAATCCGCCACCCCCGCTTCTCAACAGTATATTGAATGGAGTATGCACATATACATATATACATATATATATATATACATATATATATATATTATATATATATGGTTACCTGCATAGACATATGGAAATAAGGGACCTTTTCACAACTTTAGTGCGGGTAAACATCAGGGTTGCAGCGAACATGTTTGAAACGTAAGGTACTCTTCACGGAAGCACGCCTTGTTCAATTCCTTAGCCATATCCCGATCGGCGGCATCCTTCAAAAGTGCCGGTGTCATAGCGCTGTGTTTCAAGGTCTCCATGCTCATGGAATACATCGCATCCTTAGATCAACTTCAACTGGTTGGTGGTATAACATGGTATACCTACTCCTCTGAAAAATGATGGAGTTCGTCAGTTGGTATGATGACATTCCCAACATATGGAAAAATAAAAAATGTTCCAAACCAACAACCAGTCAATCTTGCCCAAACTGGCACTGGCATGGAATCTGTAATCATTGTCCTTGGTTGTGATGATCCAACCACGAAAATTGCTACCTGGTGGTGCGTGAAAATTCCCATGAAACAATGAAAAAGCTGCGTCGGCGTGCATGAAATAAACAATTTATTATAATCCCATGGTGCAAGAAATCAACAATGAGGGGTTGACTGCCATGAGTTGTACGATCCCTCCCCCAGAGGCCACTGGGAGGGAAATAAGCACGCGTGCCTTTACCAAAGTGACAAGCTCGGGCGGCTTTGAACTTGTGTGATTCAAATGTTAGCAGAAAATAGCGGAAGTTGGCTTGAAACTCAGCTACTTGCGCTGCGGCACAAATTCATCATGCTGGGCTGGTTGCATCCAATAAAAGTGATCCCTTCTTCTTGATACTACTAAATACCCCTTGGAGACGTTGCCTTAGTATTTCTCTCTATTCATTTTGGGCCCCATACTGGGCATGACGAATATTTTTTCCCCGTTTTGAATGGAGCCTGCGACACCCACGGCTGATCTAAGCTGACCATGGATGGCTCATTGACAACAGATTTTTCCCATCAGGAGTCCGGGGCTTCCCGGTCATGGTTGCTGACTGCCGTGACTGCAGGGATTCAACTTCCATTGATGGCTTAATCCCATTTCTGCTGGTTAAACCACGGAATGCAACATGGAATCCATTTAGTAGTTAAATCACCCGTGGGATCCCAAACTATCCCAAACTCATATAAATCTATAGGTTCAATGTTGGTTTCAGGGGCTGTAAACCATGGGGAATCTGGGATCCCAGCGCCCAGCATCTGGAACTGTGAAGGTGGTGGCAGAGAGTAGGAGCACTTGAGTGGCCCGAAGGAGGTAATAATAAGCGTCCACCTGCCGCGTTGAAGTCTTCATGAACAAATGGAAAACCATGGAAAACCTTTCGAATCCATGGTTAACCCAAGGATTGGGCTGGTTTGAAGCCGTTTATCGGTAATAGTGAGTGTGATGATGAACCAGCGAATTTGAACCAACGGATTTTGGAGTAAACATGAGGAAACTATGTGAAGACAAACCAATATTCTCGAAAAAGGAAAGGATTTAATGTGTCTTTCCCAACTTGGCTAAAAGAAGCGACAACCCCAATTCCCAAACGCGGACCTTTTTGCAATCTGCAAGAGATGTGTCTTGACCCATCAAGCATGTGTCAGTAGGGGGCCCCGGATATCTCAAGTAGGGATGAAGAGCCACACATCGGCTCGTAGGATCCGATGAAAGAGAAGTGCTATTTATATCTTTACACACCTCTTCACAGTGTTGACTCCAAGCACTACCAAAACTTCAAGGGTGAAAAATCCACAACCCGAAAGGATTGCATGCATGTGTTCAATTGAGAATCCGTCTGGGCAAAGCCAGTTTGACCAATGTTTTTTCCCAAATATAGATCACATCAATACCAATTTGTGGTTGCAAACTTATGTTTGAAAAAACCAACATCCACAACGGGGGCTGTGTCGCAAAATCGGGAAAATGTGGTATACTCCCATTTAATGATATGTCATGAACGTTTTAAGAAGAAGAATATGATACACCACTGGAGTGGGGGATATCTCCTCCACCACCATTTGGACACATGATCGAGGAGCATATGCTGCCCAACACATCATGGATTGAAACTAACACTTGGGCCCAACTCACAAACTCCGTCAGATTTGTGGAATTGGCATTGGTTAAACCATTCGAAAATGCAGGAAACCCACAAACATCATCAACCATCGACTATCTTTCATTAAACATTATTTCCACAGTGATTCTCCATAGCGAACTGTTACATTACGAAAAGGAAACATCTATGGGATAGTCCCAGTTTTGATGGTAAACCCTTGAAACAATGGAGTATCATGTTCGGTGGTTCCCCATGAAATCCCTTTGTATAGATACCATTAATATTAAGTATTGTTGACGGCCAATCTTAGAATCAATACTTAAAATCCCCATTGATGGCAGTTAGCATCTCCATGAACAATCCAATTTTTGCTGGTTAAATCCTGATTCAGAGCCCATGAAAATAACGGGTTGAAGCAACCAGCTACGACGGTGACGATTTTTTTTTCAAGGTCTTCTCCGGCGTCCGACCTTCAAGGCGTCGAAGAGCTTCCGCACATCTCCGGCATCGCGCAGGCGCACAGCCAGCAACTTGTCCAGTTCAACCTGGACATTGGCCAACCTCAAGCCGCGCATGGCAAGATATGGCAAGTCACATCTCATGTGTGTTAAAAATGGCGAAAATTAAGTATATTGAAGTATAAAATTGCTGAATGATATATAATCATGATAATATAATGGTATAATTGAATGGGAAATAACTAGGGGTATAAGAGCTACATGATTAACACATATATATATATACACATTATATAGTTATTGTTGTTACTAGAGCTTAGGGAACATCATGGAACAGCTGGCCATTAATTACCCCCCCAACTAACATAGACACCAAACTCAAAGAGTTGGAAGATTAGTTTCCACTAAAGATTTTTGAACTGTTCAGCATCTATGTCTATGTCTTGGAGGAGAACTCTGGAATTTATACCTCACTTTTTTGGCCAGATGACAACCGCGGAGCCCTCCCGGTCCAAGCCACATACTAGTGAACTGACACGTTGACAAGAATCCACCTCTCCAAACATCCTGACGTCGCAAGATCGCGAGAAGTTGAGCTGAAAAACTGTGCTTGGAGGGCGTACGCGCAGCTTGCATTGCTACTGTCAATTCTTTAGTGAAATTGCATGTTCATATGATTCATATGCATGGTCCATGTGTTCAACGCTTACAAAATCGATGGATCAAATTGGATATCTGCTTGGTGCGGTCTCTTCTACCATCCTCGGGTGACATCGAAAACATGCCGTCCGCCTTTGTGTAGACCAATTCGCTGCAAAAGTCCCGGTAAGCCTGCCAACATGTGAGTCATTAAGAATACAAATGTTGAGTGGTTATTACAGGGGCACCCATTTATGGTAGATATGGTAGATATATTGAAAATTCATCAAATGGGGGTACCCCCAAATCATATCCAAGTCATTGGACCATGACTTAGCAATGAAAGCCATGATGACTTGAGGATCCCCACATTTTAGGAAACCACCGTATCTATACTTTTTCTGGGGTCATAAACCAACAGAAACCTGGGGAAGCACCTCGTTGGAGGGGATGGGATGGTGATGCGATAGGGTTTTCCCATGGCACCCTGGGGGATTTCCAGTTATCATGTCAGTTCATCTGAATGTAATTTCCAAATATTGTTTTTGAGGGTGCCGATGTTTGGCTTGAGATCTACTTATCAAACAATTGGACGGGAACTTCTGAAGTGCAGACCAGCAACCTTCACTCACCAACACAAACTCAGCATGTCATTGCTTCATTATTGCTTCTCTGCTCAACCTAAACCCTACTGGCTTTGCTAAATCTAGGCAGCTGGATGCAAGGAAGGTCCTTTGTGGCCGCGAGGTCGCAGGTTTGTTCTGTGGTCAAAGAAGAAGTGGCTCAGAGAAGTAGCTAGGTGATCACCCCCTACGACGGGATTTTCATTCAGGGATTCCCCACAAGGTTCGAACCACCGACCCAAACAGTTAACCATTGAACCATTGGTTGGGCGTTGAAACAAATCACTGCAGCCATGATACGCAAATACGCATATGGAACATCAACACATAAGGAAATATGTTTCCTAAACAACATTCGGATCCAACAAATTGCCATGTGATTCATTTTGTTGCCCTCGTGAGATTGCTTCTCCCATTCTAACCAGTTTTAAACCAGATTTAAACTTGGTTGGTGGTTCCAACCCCTCTGAAAAATATGAGTTCGTCAGTTGGGATGATGACATTCCCAAAATATGGAAAGTCATAAGTCATGTTCCAAACCACCAACCAGCCAGTTTTAAACCAGGTACCGGCGCTGATAGCGGACCCGGTGTTTTTAATGTTTTTTATTTTAAGCATTATGTATGGATTTGTTTAAAACTGTGCCGCCGTGACGATTTTGTTATTTTACCCAGAATTAGAAATGTTGTCTTCGTCCCACGTTACGCTAGGAATTTATTCGTTGATCATTGAATTCTATTGGGCTAAATAATTGACAAATGTGGACTTTGGAAAACGAAACCTCCACAGCTTTTGAAGCTCGACTTTTTTCCTTCATGGATTCAGGGTTTGCGTTTGTTGACCTTTGCACACAAGTTGGCGAGGCTTCCTTTCAAGTCCTCCTTGTGGTTCCAACGATAGGCGAAGGACCACACATATTGTTGGATTCTTTGAGAATCCTTCCTGGTAACTTTGTCTTTGCTATGGACCGAGAAGGGTACGAAGCGCTTCAGGTGGCGCCAGACCTGGTCCAGCAACTGTGTTCCACTGATGCGTACCTTTTGTTTGACTTTGGTTTTTCGAGTGAACTCCATCTTGTAGTGTGTCACATCGCGGAAGCAAAGGCGATGCCGTTTGCACTCAGATTTCCAACTTTTTGCACCATCCCCATATACAGTGCAAGGACGTTTCAGACGTTTCAACTGCCTAAGAAATCCGGTTTTTCGAACATCTCGCAGAGACTCTGTGGCAGGACATGATCCAGGCTGCAACAAGATGTGATCGAGTTGGCACAGAAGCAAGTGTCCTCCTTCTCCACGCTCCACGCAACCAGCCCAACGCAAGTGTGTGAGGAAGTAGATGGGTAATGGTTTCTTCTTGCGTCCTGAGAACATGTTACAGCGTAGCATCCAGAGCGTCTGGCAAGTGACAAGAGACGTGTTACAGCGTACCCCTTGCCCCCCCACCCCACCCGGTTCCCCAAGAAAATCACACTATGCTTCGTGCAATACTTCTAACTGACGTGCAATACTTCTAACTGACGTGCAATATTTCTAACTAACGGGCAATACTTCTAACTAACGGGCAATACTTCTAAGTGACGCGCAATACTTCTAACTAACGGGCAATACTTCCAACATACGCGCAATACTTCTAACTGACGGGCAATACTTCTAACTAACGGGCTACTTCTAACTGACGGGCCATACTTCCAACTGACGTGTAATGCTTCTAACTGACGTGCAATGTGACAGCAAAAAAAACAGCAAAACCTGTGGGACCGTTAACAGCGCCGGTAGCTTAAACCAGGTTTAAGCCAGCTTCTCTAACTAACTGGGTCCCCACCAACCGCCTGCACTTCCTTCGCGGCCAAATCTCGGTCCATGGCGTGCTCCCGCAACCAGGTCTTCAACAACTCGCAGACCTCAGCGGAAATCAATAGAGGGATCAAGCACGGAGTCTGCCAATCACTAGAGGCATAAATCTGATGAAAGCATCAAACATGAGAGTATCATGGGGATTTGCTGGGGGATATTGTCATGGTGGAACATCGTTGGCTATATAATCATCGTTGGGAACAAATGTTGCCCAGCCGGTATACAGAGGGTATAAGCACTCTATATATCAACCAAAATGGAGTTTAAGCAAGGTCTCACTATCCAGCAATGAGGTTTTAGCATCAGGAGGGATTGAACACCAAGATCAACCGCTTGACAATGTTTGTTTTGTTTCCTGAGTAGCAGTCTAAGGAGTGATTGACAATACTGTCGGATATACCAAACGACGATCTAAAGCAGCAGTCTGGCAGCTGGACCTGATTCCAATGTGGCTTGGGGGGGCACCATTTGGCACCACTGTGATTGAATTAGCTACAGTTGGGGTGGGATTGCAAGGGTGAAGTAAGAACACTCTTGGATTACATTGGCGCGGCAAGAAACCAAAAAAAACATGTACAGCATGTCATGTCGCAACTATGTAGACATTAGACAGTCATGGATGCCATGAAATAAAGCCAGCCTACCTTTGTGCAGATTCATGTGTAAAACCAAGGCACGCGCTCACCCATACTCATCCCAAAATTAGATGGTTTAACCAGCCCCAAGTAAGGGTTGATGGTCCAATGGTGGTAGGTAATCCGTAAATGAGGCTCCATTTGTTGGTTGGAGATACCTCTAATTTTCCGTGATTCTTGGATCTCTTGGAACCTCACTTCCTTGCAACTTGGTCACCAAGGTTTTCGGATTGGATTCATCCTTACCTCAGTGCACGCACTCATGCTGGCCATCGCACTGTGGCCACACTTGTCATTGTTCATCCTTAGTCGTCCTCCTGCTCTTCCTCCTCCTTGTCCCCAACGTCCTCTTCGTCTTCGTCATCATCATCCTCCTCCTCCTTATCCTCATCCACATCATTATCATCCTCAAAAAGGTGCCTGATGTAAACCCACGGATCTGAACCCTAAAACGAGATCAATGATTATTGGTTTCATTCTCATCATTGTCATCGTCAGGGTCATTATGTCATTGCTGTTTTGTTTTTGTTGCTGAAAAGCCCATGCCAAGTCACCCCGTCTCCTTTGATAGTCCTTGGGACCACCAACCGCTGACATCCAGTTGAAAGCGTCAAGACAATCTCCAACCCTCCAAAAAAATATGGTTGGTGGTTTTTATCTTGAAAAATCTGAGTTCGTCAATGGGAAGGATGACATCCCATATATGAAATGGAAAAGAAAAAATGTTTGAAACCACCAACCAGAAATGGTACAAGGAGAGTGTTCTCCAATCCAAAACGTACGTATGGATGAGTAGCGTTTTGATCGTTTTGTTCTGTAATTATATATAGTTTCATCTTAGTTTTTAGAGTTCAGAAAGCAAAACAGCGTGACTGTAGAACACAAACACAGTGGAATAGTTCAGGCTCCCGTCTCCTCAAAGATTTGCGACATTCTCCTACGTCTTGTGCATATATTAGGAGGAAAAAACATGTACAAGAACATGCGTGTTCTTCCATTAGGTTGCTCGTGAGGCACTGGTGGGCATGCAGAAAAAAAATGAAAAAAAGAACATGTGTGTTCTTTGATGTTTCTATGAGTTTATATTACTTTTGATGGATCGACTATGATCGAAGTGATTGTAATTGTGATGTTCCATGTTTTCTCTTTTCGGATAGTCCGTTCATACTTCAAATGTTCACCTAGACTCGTGGCACCTGGTTGCTCACTAGCCTGTGGAGAGCACATGTTCACCAGCCGTGCTATGGTCAAGCAAATCAGCCGTGCTATGTTCGATGTGATTGGGTTTAAGGTAAATTCTATCGATAAAACCATGGTCTACAGATGTCTTTTCAGCCCGGCTCAGAGAATTCCGGGTCTAATTCCTGCAGATCTCCCTGCAA